CAGGTGCCTTACTAGTAGTAACAATGTTCGCTACTAGGAACAAGTGCATCGCTTCTAGTAACAGGTGCCTTACTAGTAGTAACAAGTTGGTGGTTTGATAGCTCTTCGCCAGGCCTGGTAGGCCTCACAGTGAGCCTTTGCAAACTCCTTAAGTCACAAATAACCTGGGCGGCATGCAAAAATTACGAGGTCTTTGGCTAATAATTGAGCTTCCTGTGCTTTCTTTTGCATCTCCGGCGAGGCCTCCTCTTCCAACATGGCTCTGGACTTTGGACAAGCAGTCTGTGCTCGTCTGTTTGGGCCAGCACTGTCTGCTCAACTCATCCAGCTTTAGTGCTGCCCCCAGACTTGGCCTCCAGTATGAACATGAAAAAAATAGTGGCCGGTGTGTTTGACTGAGTGTTGGGGCCCACCACCAGACACAAACACATTTGGCATTTTGGCGCGTGCTAAACTGCGACCTCCCATGTGCTTGGACTTTAAATTGCAGAACGTCCCACAATTCATGACCACTAACAGGCAGAAAATGGTGATCCAAAGCCCAAGCACATCTTGCAGGAAACGAAGCTGTGGCGTTTGCTGGAGCTGAAACTCCAACGACTCAAATTGAACTCTAACAGCTTCAAACAGCCTCATGCCATGCCCAAGCACGTCTAAACCGAGAGCATCCATCTCCAGCTTCCAAATACACGCCTGGATCGTCAGAGTGTCGCAGTTCGGAGGCCGATGGAGTGCTTTACAGTCTCATGGCTTCCGTCGCTGAGCGAAGGGCTTGTTGCTCAGTTTTGATGAAGGTCTGATGCAGATGAGTGGCCCTCATACGTGGTGTGAGCGCCCTGGTGCTCAGACGACCTACAACGACTGCAGGCCGCTCTTCTACCCTAAAGATGAAAAATACAGCTGCTTCATTTTGAAGCTACACTGTGTAGTCTTTCGCTCCAGGATCAAGATCTGCACTCTGGCTAGGTGGTCCTGGTTTCAAGCTTACAGCTTACTGTCATTGACTGGTGCAACAACATGGCTGCCATCTGCAGTCTCACTTTTCCAAGTGTCACCTGATGCAAATATACTGTAGTTTGTTTCACTGTTTGTGTTGGACTGCATCTTGGCATCTTGGGCATCCATCGTCCATGACCAGGACATCCTCAAAACTGAAAATTTGACCACCGTCACAACCCAACGGTCGGGAAGAAAAAGAGATTCGGATTGATGCTGTTGCTGGCGCTTGGCGGCAGGCAGCAGCAAAATGAAAGCAACGTGCAGCCAAGGTACAGGCTCTTCAGCCAACTTGTTTCCAATAAAAGCAGTTAGAAGTTTCTCCACATCCCTCCTTGATCTGGGGATGGTTTTCCATGCACCGGAAAGCGCTGAAGGTTTAAGTGCTTTTGAGTGCTTTGCTTAGCTGCTCTCTGTTCATCATCTAAGTGGGACCCTCCAGCCACTTTTACCGCAGACTCCGCGAACTCACAGCACCAAATTGGGCCTTGCAGGAGAAACACCTCGGCGAGCTAATCGGAGGCAACTCGGCAAGATGGACGAAATACACGGCATTCCCAATTCTTATGCGAATGGATCTCCTCATTGACCAACTTGGAGGGGCCCCCAGTCTACAGTTTTTGGGCCGGCATCCCACCCTTCACATTACATCCAAGTCACTGCCATCACCCAGCTTTTCCGAGACCTTAACGGGACTCACAATCCTTCAAATCCATGAAATCATATCAAATCCTTCAATATCCAAATCCTCGGCCCAAGCTTCCGCTTCCTCTTCCAGGGGCCGGATGGACAGGCTCGGTAGCTGCAACCGTTTCCCGCTGCCCTTCCCACACCCCGCTGAATCTTGCATGCGCGCTTTTTGGTGCCGAGCCCAATTCAGTCCTTGCATTGCAAGTCATTCATTGTTTCCATGTTCATCCATACGGCAACTGCACCTCCCACACTTAAGACCTTTCTGCAGGTCAGAGGTTGGTGCTGGTCAGCACTGAAGATATCCCAGACTTGGGGCTGGTTCATTCAACACTTCAGACCTGTCACTGTTTGACTTTTGAGGAGCCCAATGTGTTTGCACAGGCACCTGAGCCTCAAGCCACTCGACCCCTGGCAATACGCGAGACCAGGCGAAGCCAGGGCCTTTCAACTAGCATCCAACTTGCCCTCTGCCCATTAGGGCTTCTTAGATTGTCCATGGGAATGTGCAGGTTGCTCACTGGATTTGCTGGCAATCTTTTTGACCAACCCTAAGATTCCCATGCCGCTTGCAAATCATTGGCCGGGCGGCGGTCTTCCTAAGACATTACTTGTTACTTGGTCCATCCTATCACTAGCTCAGAGTGAGCAGTGAAAAATTGACCTATCAACCTGTTGAGAAAAAGGAAGAGGCGCCGCTTCTCGATGGGGCATTCCGCCCGTTCACGAGGCTTAATGCAAAGCAAAAGTCCAAGTGCCTGCCCAGAGTACGCTAACATAAACTACCAAAGCTTTGTGAGCCGCATGTGCTGGCTGCATCACCTCACAACAACCCGGTGCACACATTAGCCCACTCAATAGTTCACCAACCGTGAAAAAACATCACTGGCGTAAAATGGAACAAGGGCAGAAATCTGTGGTGTTTGTTCCCTCTGCAGGAATTGATGTGCCGACTCTCTGTCAGCATATGGTACCGGCTCAGTCTGGTGGGCCCAGCCTGCACAAATCGGACGCAGCACAATGCAGCAAGTGGTTTCCAAGGGTTGTTGCAAGTCCGTGGCCATAAGAAGAGACGCCCACATGATGTGGACCATGACAACATGGAATTCTTTTGCACCGTTCCGTGCAAAACAAAAGGCAGCGGCCGCACACCTAGCCCTGAGGCGTAGTATAAGTCGTGGTGTAGGGCTGTGGCACCTCAGCCACATCCAAAAACTCTCTTTCTGACAACAAAGGGAACCACGAAACAGGAACTTGGGTTCAGAGATCACCTCAGGTTTTGGAAAAATCCCCCCAGCTTATACAAAAACAAGATCAAACCCACGAACCCGAATTCAAACACATACTCAAAAATAAACGCCACAACATTTTTGCCACTCCTGTAGGAGACGCCGTAGAATGCTCTTGTGGGACACTCTCGTGCGACACTTTCGTCCCTCTGCGGGACACTCTTGCAGGACACTCTTGTGGGACACTCTTGAGGGACACTCTTGTGGGACACTGGCACTCACGCACTCAGATGCACTTTGGCCACATAAGTTGACAGTTCTGAGGCCACAACTCCCAGAAACTGCTTCCCGGACTGCATTCATACTACAAATTTCCGCGCTAGGT